TCCTTCACCTTCAAACCCAGCAATACCAGGCCAAGCCCTTCCCATGCTGCCATTTCTCTGGTTCTCCAATTCCCTCTTCCACTTTTAAGTATTCTTGTGATTATAGAATAATCCAGGATAACTTCCTATTTTAAAGCCAGCTGATTATCAACCTTAATTCCATTTCCAACATTCATTCCTTCCCTATATAATCTAACATAGTCTCAGGTTCCAGGGAGTAGGACATAGACAACATTGGGGAGGGCAACGAACATTATTCTATTGACCACAGTGAATAAAGGAGAGGATCCTGACAATCCCAAAGAAAGGAAAGACTATGACATTAAGTAAACCTCATAATTTGGAGATATGGAAGATAACAGAGAAGCATTGAAGACAGTATAGCCCATGATACAGAGAATACTTGACATTTTCATAGAGCATGAGGCTGAGAAGAAATTGGATATGTCACGTAATTGTTGATAGAAAGCACACCACTAGAGTCAATTTGCACTGGTATAAATACCAACATTTTAGAAAGGAATAAAAATTTTATTTTTCTAGTGAAAGACTCAAACTTAAAATAATGACAGTAGGCAACTCTATGCAAATCACCCTGAAACAAGAAAGTACATATTTTTAAAGCTCAATACAGTTTACTAAATGATTATATTCTGCAGTTATACAATTTGATGAAATTTGGATTTTAACTTATTCAATAGTTCATTCCGTATGGCTTCTCATAAGTACTGCATAATGCTATCTTGGATTTTGATTTTTATAGTGCTTTTTTGGTATTAAGTCTGGAATCTTCTAATTTGCCCTTAAACCTAGATAGAAAATTGTGGGCACACCCTTGTGTGTGCGCACAAATATAGCAACTGGAATGTTATCTGTGTACCACAATTCACCCGGTTCCACCTCCATGCTCAGCAGAAGTCATCAGGGTGGAGTAGATTTATAAAGCACAGAATAATAGTTTCATTTTCTCCTTTGTTCTTGCTATGAGCCACAAACTAATCACTGTCAAAGAGAATGAGAATAGAATTATCTGTTCCTTTTGAATGTACATGAGGTTCCTCAATGTTAAACTAAAAATTTAACTACACGTAGGTGTTTAATACACTAGCATTCTTTTATTTGCTAAATTTCATTAAATGAAACTTGAAGTCAAAATCCCAAATGTCTCTATATTTTTGAAATGGTTATTTAAAAATAACCATTTTATTGTTGTTTAAAAATACAATCTGTAACTGTTCCTTCTAGTCTACTTCTGATTCTTTGTGCTTAAACTTTATCTATTATTTTTTTTGAGCACAAAAAGTACAGCTAGAAGTCCCAAAGGAAGAAAAACAATTGGAAGCAATAAGTAAATGTAATAATGAGATTTTAAAGTTGTAGGAGACTTTTGAAGTGGTTTTCTTGAGAGAATTTCTAAAAAAAAAAAAAAAAAAATGTTTACCGTGATTCTTGGGGGTAGGGCAAAAGACCCTGTAGCTTACCTGTTTCAATTTTCTAGGAAAAAGAACTCTGTGATGATGAATGAAACAATAAAAATTGAAGCAGAACCATAATTCTAGTCATTCTCAAAGCCCAGCAGGAAGTAAAAAGGATAATCTAGAGAACATACTCAGTTTACCTATAAGAACTTGCTTTGGGAGAAGTTCTCAGCCCATGTCATAGTGTTCTGCAAAGAAACAGAACCAACAGAGAGAGAGAGAAAAAAAAGCTTGGCTCATGCAATAATTGAGGCTGAGAAGTCCCAAGATCTGTAGGCAATGAGCTGGAGACCCAGGACAGCCAATGTGTAGTTTGTCTGAGCCTGAGCGCCTGAGGACCAGGACAGCTGATGGTGTAAGTTCCACTCTGAAAAACAGCTGGCTCAAGACCCCAAAACAGCCAATGTTTCAATTCAAGACTGGAAGAAGAAAAGATTAATGTCCCAGTTCAAAGCAGTCAGACAGAAGTTCCCTCTCACTTGAAGGAGGGTCAGTCTTTTATTCTATTCAGGCCTTCAACTGTTTGGACAAGGGCTACCCATAGTAGATAGGACAACTTGCTTTATTCAGTCTTCTGATTCAAATGTTAATCTCATCCAGCACTAACCTCACAGACACACCCAGAATAATATTCAACCAACTATTTGGGCACTTTATGGCTCAGTCAAGATGACACATAAAATTAACCATCACATCTCATAGGTTAACCACAACCTACCTCATAGTAGGTTGCAGACCATGCTTACAAAGTCACTTTGACCTGGTCTGGTTTCCCACCCAAAGCAAGAATCTCTCAACAACATTGCTGCTAGATGGCCATATAGGGTCCTCTTCAAAATTTCCAATGGGGAAATCAATATTTTGTGAGAAAGCTCAGGGGCAGCTTTAATTATTTTAGATAGGGCTATGTTATTTTGAACTGAAGAGTATCTCACTGTAATTTCCAGACATTTGTCCTTCTTCTAACCTTTGGAACTACTCAGAATAAGTCTATATTCTATTCCGCACACCAACTCTTCAAGCAAATGAAGATTCTGTTATATTCTTCCAAACACTTTTTTCCCAAGTTAAACATTCCCAGCTTATTTTTCTAATCCTCATAGTATATGATTTCTTTGACACATTCTAGTTTTGTCAGTTTTCATAAAATGTGATATCTTAAACTGAACACATTTTAAATGTGTTCTAACTCCTTTATACTAGGGAAAAATCAACTCTGTGGCTGCGCTTCTCTTATTTTCATGTAAGTACAAGAAGTTTTCTGTTGAAAAAAATCCCACTGAAACCATTATTTGTGATTATATCTAATTAAACTAGCCTTAATATTATTTTAAGTTGTCCAATCCAAGTAGTTTACATAAATGCTTTCCCAGACTCCTCTAAGATACATAATATTTTACATATATATTAACACAATCATCCTGCAATGTATTGTTTTCCTTGAGACTCAAATGTCAATGGAGGTCACACTGCATACCTAAAGCCCTGATTTTGTTAGGTTTCGACTTATCCCCCTTGTGACAAGAAGTAAAGGTGACACTAAGAAGTAAATCCTGATTGGTCTAAGCTAATTAAGGTGTTTCAGAATAGGAGCAATCCCTCTTGCCAAAAGAATGTTTTAATGGCAGGCATATGATATAGCTCTGGCCAATTAGATGTGTAAGAAACTCTGTTGAGTTGCTTCTTGAAAAGGTTTCCACATTTTTCAAAAGGAGATGTTAGTAAATGGCCTCTTTCCTTCCTCTGGATGTTCTGTGTGGATGTGTTGACAGGCACAGCTATAGCCATTTTGCTCTTAGCTGGAAATGTCAGAGGAACATATTGAAAGAACCTGTGTCCCTGACGTCAATCAACCCTTCCTCCATATTTCCTGCCCTTCCTCCATACTTCCTGTTATGTAGATATTAAACTTTCTGATTCTTTAAGTCAAGTTGAATTAACGTTTTCTGTTACTTGCAACCAAAGTCATCTTAATTGATAGATTCTGCCCTTGAACATATCAAAAACTGAGTTAACCCTCATCTCACAGTTAGAAGATCTAATATCCTCCCGATATATCTTTGAATTTCCTCAGAATGACTTCCTCCAAATCCAACTTCCTGATACTGAACTCTTGAACACTGTGCAGATCCAGCTGTGGAACATGACTTCTTTATCTCAATTTATTTAAAAAAAAAATCCACTCCCATAATACACACTAAACTTTGTGTGTGTTAAATTTTATTGAAGATTCAGACTGAGGGAATAGATTTTATATTACTCTGGTGAAACATCTTAAAAATGAATCATTAGATATTCTTGTTTTTGACATCCTCAGCAAATCCATCTACTGGAATTTTTTACTGGTCATCGTCCATGGTCAGCAATCTCTGGTTTCATTCTCCAGGCTAATATCTTCAGGAAAAAGCACTTCAACACAATTCCCACTGCTTACTTTTCTTTTTTTTTTTTTTTTTTTGAGACGGAGTCTCGCGCTGTGTCACCCAGACTGGAGTGCAGTGGCGCGATCTCGGCTCACTGCAAGCTCCGCCTCCCAGGTTCACGCCATTCTCCTGCCTCAACCTCCGAGTAGCTGGGACTACAGGCGCCCGCCACCACGCCCGGCTAGTTTTTTGTATTTTTAGTAGAGACGGGGTTTCACCATGTTAGCCAGGATGGTCTCGATCTCCTGACCTCGTGATCCACCCGCCTCGGCCTCCCAAAGTGCTGGGATTACAGGCTTGAGCCACCGCGCCCGGCCTTACTTTTCTAATTAATTTATTTTTCCACCTACTTAGGGACTCTGGTTTACTTTTGCATATCAAAACTCATCACATGAGCCGGGCATGGTGGCTCACGCCTGTAATCCCAGCACTTTGGGAGGCCGAGGCTGGTGGATCACGAGGTCAGGAGATCAAGACCATCCTGGCTAACAATACAAAAAATTAGCCCAGCATGGTGGCGGGCACCTGTAGTCCCAGCTACTCGGGAGGCTGAGTCAGGAGAACGGAGTGAACTCGGGAGGCGGAGCTTGCAGTGAGCCGAGATCGCACCACTGCACTCTAGCCTGGGTGGCAGAGAGAGACTCCATCTCAAACAAACAAACAAAACAAAAACAAAAACGAAAACTCATCACATGCTCTGCTAAATTAGAGGACATCTACTTTGGGTCTTACTTTTCTGGGGCACAGAATTATTGGCAGAAACTTTGAAATTTAGACCCCGCACAGTGGCTCACGCCTATAATCCCAGCACTTTGGAAGGCAAAGGTGGGCAGATCATTTGAGGCCAGGAGTTTGAGATCAACTTGACCAACATCGTGAAACCTCATGTCTACTAAAAATACAAAAATTAGCCAGGTGTGGTGGCGCATGCCTGTAATCCTAGCTACTGGGGAGATTGAGGCACGAAAATTGCTTTAATGTGGGAGGCAGAGGCTGCAGTGAACTGAGACTGTGCCACTGCATTCCAGCCTGGATGACAGAGTGAGGCTCTGTCTCAAAACAAACAAACAAACAAAAAGCAAATAAAAAAAAAAAAAACTTTGAAATTTCAATCTCTGTTTTCTTCTTCTACCTGCCTCTGCAAATGGAAAGAAACAACATAGAGAAGAATTTTCCCATTGATATGAATTCAGCCACTCCACCTGAGAAGAATGAAGCTGCTATAGTCATTCTGGGTTTTAAATAACACATTTTTTTCTATGATAGACAAGAATGCTAATATAATGAGTAATTGTGCTAAAATATTTGCAAAGTGAATCTTCTCAGAAACTTTGAATCTTTTTCTGATGCTAAAGAGTTCTACAATGCGGAAATCCATCATTCATTATGAGTTTCTATTCATGGTAAGACTTGTTTTAAATCTCAGAAACTTATTGTCTAACTAGCTCTGCAGGTCTCTTAGGTATTAAGGAAGCCACACTGTGCCACTGTGTTTGTTTCAGCAATCTATTGGCTGCATTGGGCTGGAATATTCTACCTTTCTAGCATTAACAGTTTGAAGATTTTTCAATGATGATAGACTCTATAGAATTAGTGCTGAATTTAGTAATGCATCTCTAACCAGATGTTCTCTTAAGTTTCTTATGTTCTTTCTGACTGGCTATCTCTTTGAGTCTTCTAGTTTGCCCTAAAAAGGATGGAAATAACAAACATGATTCCAGTACAATTATTACTCCACAAAAATTCCTGTTAATTACTCCTAGGTAACACAGTTTTTTCTAAAGTAATCTGCTCTCTTAATCCATTCATTTTTTTCATTCATTCATTCAGTACCTATTGACTGTCTTCTATAGATAACCACTTGCTGGGCACTCTTTGGCATTATGCCCCTCGAAGTTAGAATATTCATGAAAATAATTTAACTTTTCTAATTTCATATCAGTGTCAAACCTATATAATGCTCTACCCAAGCATCTGCTTAATTCAATGCGATTCGATGCAAAAAAAGGATTAAGTCAAAGAAGTTGGTCTGTTCTTTATAGTTTTTTTTTTTTTTTTTTTCAAGATGGAGTCTGGCTCTGTCACCCGGGCTAGAGTGCAGCAGCTCCATCTCGGCTCACTGCAACCTCTGCCTCCTGAGTTCAAGCGATTCTCCTGCCTCAGCCTCTCGAGCAGCTGGACTACAGGTGCCTGCCACCATGCCTGGCTAATTTTTGTATTAGTAGAGATGGGGTTTCACCATGTTGGCCAAGCTGGTCTTGAACTCCTGACCTCAGGTGATCCACCCACCTCAGTCTCCCAAAGTGCTGGGATTACAGGCGTGAACCACTGTGCCCAGCCCTTTATAGTTTATTGTTACATTTATAGTCTGTTATTCTTAAGAATTAAAAGGAAATACTGCCATAATCAGAAGCTTTGTTTACTTGTGTTAACTACCCTGTAAACCTGTTACAATGTTTTTGTAATAGCATTAAAGGTGGTTATAGAATTTTGACTTGAGGAAAATTAAACAATGAAAACTGTTCTGTTGTTGTTCTCAGTCTGCTTACTGTAGCTACAAATTTAGCATTTATGTCAGGAATTAAGCATATTCCTGGCACAGAACTTAGTAATATGATGCTGGTCCCCAAAAAACTTACTTAGATAACCTTTTAGAATTGTGCCTAACCAAAGAGCATTTTCACTTTGTGCTTGCTTTTGTTTGGTTTGAATAATGCCTGCTTATATAAAATAATATAGATGAAACCTTCTCTTTCAGACTAGATTTAAGCCAGTCAAAATGACAGCCTATGAAGATGATGACAGTACTGACTTGCTGTCTTAGTTTGGTAGGATTGCCATAACAAAGTATCACACACTGGGTGGCTTAAACAACAGAAATAGTTTGTCTCATAGTTCTGGAGGCTAGAAGTTCAAGATCAAGGTGTTGACAGGGTTTGTTTCTTCTGAGGGCTGCGAGAAAGAATTTGTTTCATGCCTCTCCCTTAACTCCTTGTGCTTTGTTGACAATCTTTCCCATTTCTTGGCTTGCAAATGCGTTACCTTCTGCCTCCATCTTCACACAGCATTCTCCCTAGTGTGCATGTTTGTCCCCAAATTTCCCCTTTTAATAAAAACAGCAGGCCGGTGGCAGTGGCTCACACCTGTAATCCCAACACTTTGGGAGGCCGAGGCAGGTGGATCACCTGAGGTTGGGAGTTTGAGACCAGCCTGACCAACATGGCGAAACCCCGTCTCTGCTAAAAATACAAAAATTAGCTGGGCGTGACAGCACATGCCTGTAGTCGCAGCTACTCGGGAGGCTGGGGCACAAGAATCGCTTGAACCCGTGAGGCAGAGGTAGTGGTGAGCTGAGATAGCGCCACTGTACTTCAGCCTGGGCGACAGAGTGAGACTCCATCCCAAAAACAAACAAATAAATAAAATTAATAAAAACACCATTCGTATTAGATTAGGGGCGCATCCTATTTTAGCATGACCTTACCTTAATTATATCAATAACTCTATTTCCAAACAAGGTCACATTCTGAAGTACTGGGGGCTAGAACTTCAACATAGGAATTTGAGGGGACACAATTCAACCATAACACTTACAATCAAAGCTATGTTTTATATTAGTGGTTCTTCCATTTCCTTAACAAATATTTACTGTCTGTGTGCTAAGCACTATGCTAGAAACTGGAAATGCGATAATAAATTAGATACGGTCCTTATTCTCAAGAAACTTCAGTTCATGGATTTATGCCTCTTCCTTTACAGTCTTTTCACTTCCAAGGAAATGAAATAAAAAGGGGACTACCAATGTTTAAGGATCATATGGCTGAATACCTAAAAACAATAATAATGGCCAATATTTGTTGAATACTTGCAAATATCATCATGTACATTATCTCATTTAATCCTTAAAACAACACTTCAGGCCAGGCACGGTGCCTGACGCCTGTAATCCCAGCACTTTGGGAGGTTGAGGTGGGCAGATCACTTGAGGTCAGGAGTTCGAGACCAGCCTGGCCAACATGGTGAAACCCTGTCTCTACTAAAAATACAAAAATTAGCCGGGTGTAGTGGTGCATGCCTGTAGTCCCAGCTACTCAAGAAGCTGAGGCAGGAGAATATTTTGAACTCCAGAGGCGGAGGGTGCAGTGAACCGAGATTGTGCGACTGTACTCCAGCCTGGGCAACAGAGCGAGACTCCATCTCAAAAAAACCAAAAATGACAACCAAAAAAAAACCACTTTAAAGTAGAAACTATTATTATCACCCCATTTACAAATGAAGAAATTGAGGCTCTGGGAAGCCTAGCAAGTGGCAGAGTGAGGATTTATTTATTTATTTATTTATTTATTTATTATTCTGAGACTGTGTCTCCCTCTGTCACCCAGGCTGGAGTGCAGTGGCATGATCTCAGCTCACTGCAACCTGTGCCTCCTGGGTTCAAGCGATTCTCATGCCTCAGCCTCTCTAGGAGCTGGGATTATAGCCATGCACAACCACGCCTGGCCAATTTTTGCATTTTTAATAGAGACACGGTTTCACCATGTTGGCCAGGCTAGTCTCAAACTCCTGTCAAGTGAACTGCCGGCCTTGGCCTCCCAACAGAGTGAGGATTTTAGCCTAAGATGGCCTGGCACCTGAGCTAGATACCATTGCTACAGAACCCTTACATTATACATCTTCTAATGGTGGGGAGAATTGAAAAATAAGTCTTTCCTTTATCTTTAAACAGTTTATGTAACATAATACCTATTGTCTAATTTCTTCTCCTTCTCTTTGTTGCCTTTTTTTTTTTTTTTTTTTTTTGAGACAGGACCTCAGGGTCTCACTTTGTCACCTAGGCTGGAGTGCTGTGGCATGGTCATAGCTCACTGTAGCCTTGACCTCCTGAGTTCAAGGGATCCTCCTGTCTTAGCCCCCCAAATAGCTGGGACTACAGGAATGTGCTACCACACCCAGCTAATTTTTGCATTTGTGGTAGAGATGGAGTTTTGCCATGTTGCTCAGGCTGGTTTTGCACTCCTGAGCTCAAGTAATCCACCCTTCTTGGCCTACCAAAGTGCTGGGATTACAGGTGTGAGCCACTGCACCTGACCTGTTGCTTTCTTTTTTACTTGCCAACATATACAAGTTCATTTGTTTCTTCCATCAACATTTCCTTAAAAACAAACAAACAAAGAAACAAAAAGAAAATGGAAAAAAAACTTGGCCCAGGTGCGGTGGTTTATGCCTGTAATCCCAGTAATCTGGAAGGTGAGGCGGGCGGATCACTTGAGGTCAGGAGCTCAAGACCAGCCTGGCCAACATAGTGAAACCCTGTCTCTACTAAAAATACAAAAATTGGCTTGGCATGGTGGCATGCACCTGCAGTTCCAGCTACTCTGGAGGCTGAGGCAGGAGAATCGCTTGAACCCTAGAGGCAGAAGTTGCAGTGAGCTAAGATCGTGCCACTGCACTCCAGCCTGGGTGACAGAGTGAGGCTCCATCACAAACAAACAAACAAACAAACCTGGCAGGGCATGGTCGCTCATACCTGTAATCCCAGGACTTTAGGAGGCCAAGGAGGGAGGATCCCCTGAGCCTAGGAGTTCGAGATCAGTCTGGGCAACATAGTGAGTCCCTGTCCATATTTAATAAAAAGAAAAAGAGAAAAAAAAGAAAAAATTTTCTTATCTCACTTCTTTCCTTCCCATTTCCCTAGAGGACTCCCCTTTCTACCCAGAAACTGAATTTCCTCTGCAGAACGTGCTGGTAATACAGAATTATCTGCTGGGAAATTGAGTGGGAAGTGGTTGGCTTACTATTCTGGGACAAAAACCAGCATCTCACTTTTAAAAGGTAAACCTTTTGGGAAGTGAAAGGATGGGGTTAAGTTCTTTCCAGAAAGGAAAACAATCCTATTTTCGGGCCATATCTATTGGCCCAACCACTACCACTACTAGGTTTTTTTTTTTTTTTTGAGACGGTGTCTCGCTCTGTCGCCCAGGCTGGAGTGCAGTGATCGGATCTCAGCTCACTGCAAGCTCGGACTCCCGGGTTCACGCCATTCTCCTCCCTCAGCCTCCCGAGTAGCTGGGACTACAGGCGCCCGCCACCACGCCTGGCTAATATTTTGTATTTTTTAGTAGAGACGGGGTTTCACCGTGTTAGCCAGGATGGTCTTGATCTCCTGACCTCGTGATCCGCCCATCTCGGCCTCCCAAAGTGCTGGGATTACAGGCTTGAGCCACCGTGCCCGGCCTACCACTACTATTAAAAACTCAGTTTCTTGGCCCTGCTGCTAACACTGGTTTTACATTGACATGGTGACAGTGGATAAAGGTTTGCTGGATGATCAGAAGTATATTTTTCCCCAGAGTCTAAAGCAAAACATAACTTACGAATGGCACTGCTATGAGGAAAAGTGAGATGTAATAACCGAGACCAGCTAATTATCAGAACTAAGTATCCAATATTAACCTCACAGTAAGTTAAACAGGTTCCCACTAATACATTCCAACCCCTCTTAAAAAATTTTTTTTTAAATAGAGATGGAGTCTCACTATGTTGCCCAGGCTGGTCTCCTCCTGGGCTCAAACGATCCTCTCACTTCCACTTCTCAAAGTGCTGGGATTACAGCTGTGAGCCACTGTGCCTGGCCTCAACCTCTGTCTTTTCTAATCAGTGACAAGATTCTGAGAGAGAAACGAATAGAGTTGATTATGTAGCACATTATGAATAATTAGAGAAAGGGTTACTAGACTAAATATTTTCTCTTACATTTCTAAAGATTTTAGTAGAATCCTTTTTACTATGAAGAAGCCACAGTTCAAAAATGATTTTCTTTAAGGGACAAGTCTTGCATTTCTAATCTGTTAAAAGATGGCAAATGCCATAGTCATCATGACTTATCACAGAAATGTCTTTTAGAAGTCCAGGTACAAATTTTAATTGCAAGCACAAATTACAAGAGAAAGAAAGTCAGTTTCAGAGACGTCAAATCATATTTGCTTCTAAAATCTTTCCCTTGAAATTTTTGTGGACATGGCCTGTTTGCTTAGCATGTTAGTTAATGTTCCTATGTTAGTTGTGTCTTGTATTCATTTATTTATTCAACAAGTATGTATTGAGTATCTATTTTATTCCAGGTACTGACCTAAGGGCCAACATACAAAGTCGAGTGAGAGACAGAGCATGTCCTCAAGGAGCAGATTGTCCAATGGGGAAGAGAGGTAAGTAAATAGGCACTTTTTATGTAATGTCATAAGTAATATAATGTAAATATGCACAGGGAGCACAGAAAATGGTGCCTGAGCCAGGGAGTGAGGTGAACAGGGTTAGGAAAGTTGTTAAGGAGAAGGAAACATTTAAGCTACATAATGAGGAATAATTATTATTGGAAGTGACTTAAAGCTGGGCATGGTGGCTCATGCCTGTAATCCCAGCACTTTGGGAGGCTGAGGCGAGCAGATCACCTGAGGTCGGGAGTTCAAGACCAGCCTGGCCAACATGGTGAAACCTCATCTCTACTAAAAATACAAAAATTAGCTGGGTGTGGTGGCTGGCACCTGTAATCCCAGCTACTTGGGAGGTTGAGGCAGGAGAATTGCTGGAACCCGGGAGGCGGAGGTTGCGGTGAGCCGAGATCATGCCACTGCACTCCAGCCTGAGCGACAGAGTGAGACTCCATCTCCAAAAAAAGAAAAAAAAAAAGTGAATTACAGATTGCCAAATCTGGTAAGATTTTATTTTGTTACTTTTCAAATGTTCCATGTGATAAATGCCTCTCTTTTGCAAACTCTAAAATAAACAGTAGTTTGATGATGGAGAATTCAACCATGTGTGACCTCCTTTGTCTCTTGAAGCTCTGTTATTAAGACCAGATATCAAGAAAAAGGCATAGCCAATGGAGAAAATTAATGATTAGGTCTGGAATTTAGCTGCTGGAGTTAGAGAAAGAAATAACTGCTGTATATATCTGCTGTATATAGATTTGACCAGAAAAAAAGCAGAGATGATTTCTTCTCATCTCAGGAAGACTTGATGAAAGACAGCTTCCAAAATGAGTTCCTTGAGTGCGAATCTCTATTCTTTTCATTTTTAAACTCATGATTCTAGGCTTGAAACTCACCCATGTTGATGCCACCACAGACAGCTTTGAATATGTACAAGGGCATCTCCAATAATTGTACTTGGGAGGAGGAGATAAGGCACCATTTCCCTCTTTATCTGCAATTGAGTAGTTACTGAGAGAGTTGTTTAAAGAGCTCTTTATTCATTCATTCAGATATTATTCATTGTTAAAACATATATAATTTGATATGTAAATTATATCTTAAGAAAACTGTTTTATAAAAGCCATTTGTAGTATACTCTCATGTCTTTTCCCCGAGGCCAGCATAGTTTGGCACATAAAGGCTTCTTGACTAAGTTGACTATGTGGCCTGGTTGGGTCCCTCTGCAGTGTTTACCAGCTCCTCTAGCATATGTCCCAGAACGACAATCCTTTTTCCTTTCAGATTATGACACTGTATGTGAACTCAAATCCCCTTAACTCAGAAACTTACTGTTCAAACCTCCAGAAAAACGCTGGACAAAATCCTCATCAATAAAAAGAGAATAATTGAACATGATGCTTGGAAATGTTCCCAGCAATGTCCTTAACCTTGGAAAAAAAATTCCTAGTCTATAATGTTTCTACTCACTTATCCACAGGAGTAGAATTGAAGGGTGAGTCAGAACAAGCAAAAGTCCTATTAGTGTGGAGGTTCTGGAGAAGAGGTTGCCTTGTTACTTTTTTCAGCAGAGAAGTTAGAAAAGAATACCACAACATGAGGGGGAACATAGTCCTCCTTCCAAAAAGTTTATCTTTAAAAGATTAAAAACAAAAACAAAAAACTCCGAAGTATAACATGATAACCTGGAGCAATCAGGTTGATTTAAATATATAAATATGATACAAATATCTAAATATGGAGCAGATTTTTCTTGGTTAAAAAAATGAGGTTCTGGCCGGCCGTGGTGGCTCACACCTGTAATCCCAGCACTTTGGGAGGCCAAGGCAGGTGGATCACTTGAGCTCAGAAGTTCAAGACCAGTGGGCCGGGCGCAGTGGCTCAAGCCTGTAATCCCAGCACTTTGGGAGGCCGAGACGGGTGGATCACGAGGTCAGGAGATCGAGACCATACTGGCTAACACGGTGAAACCCCGTCTCTACTAAAAAAAATAGAAAAAACTAGCCAGGCGAGGTGGCGGGTGCCTGTAGTCCCAGCTACTCGGGAGGCTGAGGCAGCAGAATGGCGTAAACCTGGGAGGCGGAGCTTGCAGTGAGCTGAGATCCGGCCACTGCACTCCAGCCTGGGCGACAGAGCAAGACTCCGTCTCAAAAAAAAAAAAAAAAAAAAAGAGTTTCTACTTCCATTAATGGGAGAGTAGCATGTATCAGACCAACCATTCCACATTCCACAAGTAATGCTTATAAACTCTGAACAAAATATATGTATATATAAAATATGAAGGCATTGAGAAGGGACCAAAGTAGGCAGAAAATGGAAAGGAATCAAATTTAGAGGAAAAGAAAGACATTGGGTGAGTTTTCCCATTTCTTATGACTGTTTACCTAAGGGTGGGCTTCAGCAAGCCTTGCACAGGGTAGCTAATGCTCACAGACTCATAATCATACAGGTTATGTATTAAGAGTCAGAGTTTGGAGCAACCACAGCTGGAATGTAAGGGAGAAGATTCTAGAAAGGAGAGAGCCATAGAGGAGGAGCCCCAGTTTGTGAATATAAAATCTGCTTGAAAATCTGGCTGACTCCTGCACTATCCCTGTGCAGGGCAGAACCTGAGAAGCCCATACATGGCTAAAAGAATGGAACAAAGATTTCAGCTACTGCCCAACATAGAGGGGGTAGAGTATGGAGTTTGAGTTCTGCCAAGTTATCTGTCTACTAAAACAAAAATTAATACTCTTGAGAAGAACATAACAGAGTCCAGAGTTTCTCCAATTTATCATTCACTGACCATGTCCAGGATACAACCCCAAATTACTAGACATAAGAAGAAACAGGAAAATGCGAACAACACTCTAAGAAAAAGACAGTCACTAGAGACCAACCACAGAATGCTTCATATATTGTAATTAGCAAAGATTTTAAGGCAGTTATTTTAATTATACCTAAGGATGTAAAAGAAAACATAATTTAAATGAATAAACATATAGGAAATCTCAGCAGAGAAACAAACCATAAAGAAATAACCAGGCTGGATGCAGTGGCTCATGCCTGTGATTCCCAGCACTTTGGGAGACTGGGGTGGGCAGATTGCTTAAGCTCACAAGTTTGAGACCAGACTGGGCAACGTGGCAAAACCCTGTCTCTACTAAAAGTACAAAAAATTAGCTGGGCATGGTGGTGTGTGACTGTAGTCCCAGCTACTTGGAGGCTGAGGCAGGAGGATTTCTTGCACCCATAAAAGGCTGGGCACAGTGGCTCATGCCTATAAATCCAGCACCTTGGGAGGCCAGGGCAGGCAGATCACTTGAGGCCAGGAGTTCAACACCAGACTGGCCTATATGGTGAAACCCCATCTCTACTAAAAATACAAAAATTAGCTCGGCATGGTGGCACTGGCCTACATGATGAAACCCCGTCTCTACTAAAAATACAAAAATTAGCTGGGCATAGTGGCAGGCATGTGCAATTCTAGCTACTCGGAAGGCTGAGGCACAAGAATCGCTTGAACCCAGGACTTAGAGGTGACAGTGAGCCAAGATTGTGCCACTGCACTGCAGCCTGGGTGACAGAGCAAGACTGTCTCAAAAAAAAAAAAAAAAAAAAAAAAAGAACCAAATGGAAATTATAGAACTAGATATTAAAGTATCTGATATTTAAAAATTCATTAGATAGGCTTAACTGCAGATTGGAGATAAAAGAAGAAAGAATTAGTACCCTTGAAAATAGATCAATGTAAGTTATCCAGTTTGAAAAAAGAAAACAGAGAAGAAAGCCTGGGAGAAAATGAGCAGAGTCCCAGTGACTTGTTAAACAATATTAAGAGGTTTAAATATGTGTAATTGGAGTCCCAGTAGAGAGAGAATGACCAAAAATTTAAAGAAGTAATGGCCAAAGCATTTCCGAATTTGGTGAAATATGTGATTTTGGCAAATTCTAAGCAGGATAAGTGCAAAGAGAACTACATCTAGGAAAATTGTAATGAAATTACTGAAAACGAAAGTAAAACAAATATTTAAAAGAGCCAGAAAAAGCAGCACATTGTAGATAGGATAACAATGATACATAAACAGCTGACTTCTTACTAGAAGCCACAAGGTAATGAATCATATGTTTAAAGCGCGAAAAGGATAAAACTTAGAATTCTGTATCTATTTCATATCTAGTAAAAGTACATATGGTTGCCTACATATGATGTTTCAACTTGTGATTTTTTGACTTTACTACGGCATTTTTGACTTTAGTACGTGCATTTTTGACTTGTGATATTTTTGATTTGTCATGGGTTTACCATGGGTTAAATCCATCACAGATAAATTTATCATGAGTTTATAACTCCACGGTAAGTTGAGGAGCATCTGTATCTTGCATTTTACATATAGCAAAAATATCCCTAAGGAAATGCCAATTAAAACAATGAGTTACTACTACAAATAGATGACACTAAATGCTGATGAGGATGTGAAGCCACAGGAACTTTCATTTATTGCTTGTAAGAATGCAAAATGGTAGAGCAACTTTGGAAGACAGTTTGGTGGTTTCTTTAAAGACTAAACATACTGTTACCATATGATCCAGCAATTTTACTTTTTGATATTTACCCAAAGGAGTTGAAAACTATGTTCACGCAAAAACATGCACAAAGATGTTTATTGCAGCTTTACTCATAACTGCTGAACACTGGAAGAAACCAAGAAGTCCTTTTGTAGGTGAATGGATAAAATGACTGTGAAATATCAACTATGAAATATTCAGTGCTAAAAAGAAATGAGCTATCAAGCCATATAAAGATATGGAGAAAACTTAAATGCATATTGCCAAGTGAAAGAAGCTAATCTGAAAAGGCTACATAATGTATGATTCCAACTATAGTATATGACATTCTGGAAAAGGCAAAAATACATAGGTGTAAAAAGATAAGTGGTTGCCAGGAATTAGGTGGGGAGGGAGAGATGAATAGGTAGAACACAGAGCATTTTTTAGGGCAGTGGAAATACTCTGTGTGATACTGTAATGGTAGATACATGTCATTATACCTTTGTCAAAACCTATAGAATGTACACCAACTGAATGCTAATGTAAACTGTGGACTGTAGGAGATAATAATGTATCAGTGTAAGTTCAGTAATTGTAACATATGTACCCATCTGGTGGGAGATGTTGATAATGGGGGAGTCTATGCATGTGTGGAGGTAGGAGGTATCTGGGAACTCTATCTTCTGTTCAATTTTGCTATGAACTTAAAGTTCTCTAAAACATAAAGTCTATTTTTAAAAATCCTTCAAGAATAAAAGGGAAATAAAGGCATTTTAAGATAAATGAAAACTAAGAGAATACATTGTCAGTGGACCAGACCCACAACAAATGCTTAAAAAGTATTTAGTACTATGTGTCAAACAGTATCCTCCATGTTTTAGCTTGTGTTTCCCAAGGCCAATGCTGAAACAAAATTTCAAGTGAGGTGGTTTATTTGGTAGGTGTTTTGCACTGAATTGTGTCCCCCCACCAATAAATTGAAGACCCAACCTCTAGTACCTCAAAATATAATCATATTTGAAGATTAGGTCTTTTAAAAGGTTACTAAGTTAAAATGAGGTCCTTAGGGTGGGCCTTAATCCAGTCTGACTGGTTTTCTTGAAAGAAGAGGAGTTTGGACACAGAAAGAGACACCCCAACACATGCGCACACAAAGAGATGACCACATGAAGACACAAGAAGGCAGCCGTCTGTAAGTCAAGGAGGGAGGCCTCAGAAGGAACCAAGCCTGCCAACACTTTCATCTTGGACTTCCCAGTCTCTAGAACGGTGAGAAAATAAATGTCTGTTGTTTAAGCCACCCAGCCACCCAGTCTGTGGTTTTTGTTATGACAGCCCTAGCAAACTAATACAGTAGGTGATCTCAGGAAATGTGGTAGAGAAGTGGGAAAGGAAGAAAGGGAAAAAAGGGCAGCCAAGGTAAGATGTTATTACATGTCAAGTGTCCCTAATCTGAAAATCTGAAATCCAAAATTCTCCAAAATCTCAAAGTTTTTCAGTGCCAATATGATGCCACAGGTGGAAAGTTCCAGACCTGACCTCATGTGATGGGTGGCAGTCAAAATTTTGTTTCATGCACAAAATTATTTAAAATAGTGTATAAAATGGCCTTAAAGCTATATGTATAAGGCATATATGAAACATAAATGAATGTCATGTTTAGACTTGGGTCCTACATAATGAGATATTTTTATCTCATTATGTTTATGCAAATATCCCTAAATAAAAAAAAAATCTGAATTCTGAATTTCTGGTCCTAAGCATTTTGGATAAGTGATACTCAACAGCATTGGAGTCAGGCAGATATGGGTTTATCCTCTTAACTCTTTAGTTGTAAAATAGGAACAATACTGCCACTTTATGAGAATAAAATAACGTAGTCCATATAAAACTCTTAGCCATTATCTGACATATCTTAAGTACTCAATAAGCATCTTAAAAAAATCATTTAATTTCATGACAACTCTTAAGATTACAGTAAATGATTATTTGTTTTAAAATATCTCCATTAATTAAAAAGATTACCATTTAAGTTGTGTTGGGAATCTTAATGGTATTATTTTGGTGTATTATGTTTCGTGCAATAGCTTAGTAAATACTTAATGTACTAAACACTTAAATATATAGCATACATTCAGTAATGATTCATTTATACACACTTTTGATCTTCCTATTCATGTGGCTGGGCTGTGCTCAAATTACATTCCCTTGTGTTCTGTATTTTCCTATTTCTGCAATCACACACTGTAAACTATAACACGTACATATTCTATTATGACACATGTCAGGTGTTTTCTTCCTCTAAGTCCCAAGGTTTTTGGAAAGGGACTTTTGGTGAGTCATAGTCTCGGTCTCTTGTGGTGAAGTGTGTGACCTTATCATCTGCCTACCGCCTCTAAGCATTGTTTCTTGAAATAAGGCCACAGTTCCCTAAATGTGACTGCCTGCAGCTCCTTTGGTCTTGCTGTAGCTGCATTCCTGGAATTGCCCTTCATAGGTCTCCAGGGGCCTCCTGGGAACTGGAGAGCATTTTGTAATGGAGATGTCAGATACCTAAGTAAATTACCTTTAATTATGGAAAGCACAGAAGCTCAGAACAGAATTAGTGATCAAAATGGATTAATGAATTATCTTTCTATTAGTAATAATTAAGAGAAATACAAATTTAAATACAGAACTCCTACCTTCACATTTAAAAATACAATCTCAGACTGGGTGCAGTGGCTCACACCTGTAATCCCAGCTCTTTGAGAGGCCAAGGTAAGGGGAATGCTTGCGCTCAGGAGTTTGAGACCAGCCTAGTGAAACCCTGTCTCTACAAAAATTTGAAAAATTAGCCAGGCGTGGTGGTGCATGCCTGTAGTCCCAGCTACTTGGGAGGCTGAGGGGGGAGAAATGCTTGAGCCTAGGGAGGTCGTACCACTGCACTCCAGGCTGGGCGACAGTGACCCTGTCTCAAAAATAAAAAATGAAAACAACTCTCAGATTGTGTAACTGAGTATGAGAAAGCCAATTTACTTTTTAAAAAGTTTATTCTTTAAGAAAATGTTAAAAACACATTTGTAATGGTTTTATTGGATTACAAGCATGTTAAGAATTTTACTGGTTTCAAGAAAAGAAAAAATCAGTTTGTATGTATATTAAACCAGTACTAGGAGTTGAGACATTTAAAAAAAAGGATTTGATTTATAATGTTCACTCATTAATTGAACAGATATATATTAACCACCCAATATCACCAGGCACTGGTCTAGCTGCTAAAGTTATAGCTGTGAATAAAAGAGACAGATAAAAAAAAATTAGTACCCTCACATTTGAAAAACAATATTTCAATAAACAAAATATCTAGAAAAAATGGTGAAAGAATGATGAGCCAAAACAACTCTTTAAGTTCAGCGAATGTCAAAGAAGCAGTCAATCAAACCCCACATGAGGAGTCAGGGATAGCCACATTATTTCCAATACAAAAGATTATTTACAAAAACAAAACAAAGTTAAAAATAGAAACAGGCTGGGTACAGTGGCTCATGTCTGTAATCCCAGCACTTTGCGAAGCCAAGATGGGCGGATCACTTGAGTTCAGGAGTTTGACACCAGCCTGGGCAACATGGCAAAACCCCGTCTCTACCAAAAATACAAAAATTAGGCACGGTGGTGCACACCTGTGGTCCCAGCTACCAGGGAGGCTGAGGTGGGAGGATCATTTGAACATGGGAGGCAGAGGTTGCAGTGAGCCAAGACTGTGCCTCTGCACTCCAACTTGGTGACAGAATGAGACCCCATCTCAAAATAAATAAATAAATAAGAAAACAGAAACAAACACGCATTACAGACAGCTAAGAAAATTACCTTGAAAATGACAATAATGAGCAGAGTAGTCAATGTTAGCCATTTAAAATGTTAAACTTAATGTATCCACAAGTAATGCTAAACTAATCTATAAATCCATCAGATCCAGTGAGACAAGATTCCAGGGATAGAATAAAATAAAAGTTAAGATGAGAGAAAATGAAACAACCATCTGAATGCTCTGACAAGGTATATATCTTGATGAGGTCCCTTGGATGCTTGACAGGCCCTTACTATGTATTCAGAAATTCTATTTATTTTATTTGCATTTTTTTATTCCTCCTGTAAACCTGAAATAAGGAATTCTATTTCTTTTGTTCAATCAGAGCAATCGTGTTCTGGCAGGTTGGGCCATATGAACTAAACTCAGAAGAGACCTAAATTGACAGAGCAGGAGCATTGCCATCTTGGACACACAATGCCATTTTAAAGTTCCCCTTGATCAAATACCACCTAAATCCAAAGGGCATCAGCCTAATGGCTAAGGTCAGCATGACTATAAACCACAAATGACATTTCTGACCAGAAACATTCCAATCCTAAGATAAACCCCTCCCTGACCAGAGACATGCCATCCCTGATATAACCTCCCCTCCAGCTGGAGAGATGGCAGCCCCAAGATAACCTCCCCTCCAACAATCGACATCCAACTCTGCAATAAACTTCTCCTCCACACAGAAACATTCCAAGCCTGTGATAAGCTCTCTCACCCTAAAACCCTTAAATAGTCTGTAAGAGAGAGTACTCCTGACCAAAAATCGGCCAGAAGCCCCTCTCAGGTTTATTCTCCAAAATAAACCTATTTTTGACTGTTGAGCTGCTTTTTGTGTTTCTTTCCTCAAACTCGTAAACAAGCCAGACTGTTTATGTCACTTTATTCATTAATACAAAATCCTCATAGATATTCAGGAGACCTTCCTTCAGATAAAAAGGGACTTGGGGCTGGGCCTGGTGGCTCACGTCTGTAATCCTGCACTTTGGGAGGCTGAGGTGGGCAGATCACTTGAGGCCAGGAGTTTGAGACCAGCTTGGCCAACATGGTGAAACCTGTCTCGACTAAAAATACAAAAAGACTAGCTAGGTGTGGTGGTATGCACCTGTAATCCCAGCTACTAGGGAGGCTGAGGCAGGAGAATCACTTGAACCCGGGAGGTAGAGGCTGTAGTGAGCCAAGATCATGCCATTGCACTCCAGCCTGGGCGACAGAGCAAGACTATCAGAAAAAGAAAAAAAAAGAAAAAAAAAGGGACTTGGATGAATTTAAGGAGGTCTTCATCTAGAATGTGGAAGAGCTGAAAGAATTATCCTGTGGAAAGCTGTTCATTTAAAACATGTATGCTGAGTACTTACTGTGTACCTAGCACTGTACTAAGTGCTGAGGATCCAGATTTCAATAAAATCAGTTCAAACCCTCAAAGAGCTCACAATTTGATGGGGCAACACTGAGGAATCATTATAATACATTAGGGGGGATGTAGGAGGCATTAGATAAACAGACGAAAAAGTGGTGACCTGGAGAATGAGTAATGGCTTCCTAAAGGTGATATTTTAGTTGAACTGTAAAGGACAGATAGTGGAAAAAATTCATTCAGGCCTCAGCAACCAATATTTACAAGGACATAGAGTAGGAAACAGCAAGTGTTACGATCAGTGATGTGTGAGGCCCTTTGGTTGTACTAATAGGAAATGACATCAGAAAGAAAGGCTGGAACTAGTTGTTTCGGAGCCATGGAGAGACAAGGAAAAAAGAACAATATGATCAAATTCACGTTTCAGAAAAATCCTTCTGGCAATGTTGTGGAGGACAGGGGAGCTATGGGAAGTAAAGGAAGGAAGATAGGAGGGCTGTTCCAATAGACCAGGCAAAAATTGATGAAAGTCTGAATTAAGTCCGTAGAAGTTCAAATCTGTGGGATTTTATCTGAACATAAGTGAGCGTTTAGCTAAAGAAAACCCATTTTGAAGGACAGCATTGGACATACACCAACAAATATTTTTGCATGGATTCTCTTTTTTCTCAAAACCATCTGAAAAATCAGCAAACTACTTGGTATGTTTCTCTCTTATTAGACATTAGATTTCTGTCTGCCTAGTGGTGTTCAGGAGATAACCTAAATCACTGACAAGATTTTCAGAGGGAATAGACTGTAATAATATTAAATCTACCTATGAAATACTGAAGTCTAACAATCACCTAACCAGGTAGTAGGAAACTGAGGTCTTTGATTGTACCAGGATTTCTCAAAAGTTCGGAACTGGTAAGGGAGTAAAATTAGATCATGCTGGTTCTTAAAAACTATGGAGAAGAAAATAGGGTTTCTTGCACAGTTAAGAGCTAGGTTTGCCAGGCACAGTAGTTCATGCTGGTAATCCTAGCATTTTGGGGGGCCGAGACAGGAGGATCTGTTAAGCACAGGAAT